GAGCCATGGATGATAGAAGAACACCCAAACCAGAGCCTCCCAGGTTAGTAAGCACATCCTGGGCAGAGGCCAGAAAGAGTAAAACCCAGCAGATCTTGGCTGTGTTCTTTGTTGTTTCTAGCAATTTTTCCCCAGATCCCTGAACAGAGGGTGGCCCATCTCCTTGCTTCAAACACATGTATTAAATAATCTCTTAGATGGACTCACACATATATATCTCTGTATTTTATTTTGCTGTTTTTTAAAAATGTATTTTCCTAAAATATAATCCCTACATTTCTCTTCTTTGACATTTATTTTTGCTATTCACTTTTTCAGGATTCTCAGTTGCCCTCATGTCCTGCACTCTCATGGACATAGTTNTGAATGATGCTCAGAGGACTTTGTACAGGGATGTGATGCTGGAGACCTACAGCAGCCTGGTTTCACTGGGTGAGTGAAACTCCCCAGTAACATTCAGGAGAAACACTTTGTTTTTTTTGGTTTTTTTTGTTTTTTTTTTTAATAAAAATAGGAATGGTTTATAGGTTTTTATACTATTTGGTACCATTACATTTCATGAAAAACATGTCATGCCTATCTAACAAAAGATTCAAATTGGCCTCTTTATTGTGTAATTTCTGGAGCTGAAGACTTGTCATTCTTCCATGTACCTGGCTTTGCAGTTTTATAAAGTCCTATGTTACTTCCCATTAACAGGGCACTGCATTAGTAAACCTGACATGATCCTCAAGTTGGAGAAAGGAGCAGAGCCATGGATGATAGAAGAACACCCAAACCAGAGCCTCCCAGGTTAGTAAGCACATCCTGNCTGGGCAAAGACTTTATGAATAGGACCCCCATAACATAGGCAACAAAAGAAAAAAACAAATGGGATTATATCAAGTTAACAAGCTTCTGCACTGCACAAGAAACAACAGAGGAAAAGAACAACATACAGAGTGGGAGAAATTATTTTTAAACTATGCATCTGATGAAGGATTAATATCCAGAATATGCACATAACTGAAACAACTTAAAAGTAGAATAACAAATAGTCCGATTTTAAAAATGGGCAAAGGAGCTGAATGGGCATTTCCGAAAGGAAGATATACAAATGGCCAACAGATACAGGAGAAAATGCTCAACATCACTCAGCATCCAGGATGTGTAAAAGGCACATCAAAATATTTCATGCCACTTAGACTGGCTCCTATCAAAAAGGCAGAGAACAAAAAATACTGGTGAGAATGTGGAGAAAGAGGAACCGTACTGTACTGTTGATGGGATTGTAAATTGGTGCAGCCATTATC